AATGCGCTTGGCGCGCGAGCGATAGGTAAACAAAAGGTGTACAATATAACAATTAGTGTCAGAATTAAGGGCAATAATAAGTGTTTATATTTCGGCAATTGTGTTTTCCTAATAAAAGTATACCACTACAACGTCGTCATTGTAGTCGTTGTTAGGTGCATAGCAATGAATGACGTTCATTGCAGTGCCCGATTTCTTTGTTTTGAAGGATGCTTTGACGATCCTGGATACAGGATATTCCCATCATATAAGTGCCTTTTGTGCTTTCTTGGACAGCACCAAAGCAACTCATTGTGTGTGTGAGAGGCATTTACTTCTTCTTGGCCGGATTATGACAGTAGCTCTACTTGGGCTAGTCCTAGTTGTCTCGTCTGTGTCCAATGTGTTTCACTGATTTCAATCATCTGCGGGTTGCATCCTTTCATTTCTGCAGCAACTTGAAATAGCCTCCAAGTCTAGCACAATATTCGAATATTCCATGTACCCACAATCATGGTTTCTCTGGTTTTCAGAAGAGTCATCGGCGTCGTGAATTCCGTAGGAACTCGGCTTTCATCATGAAATATTTTAATTCTTTCGAAAGAAGACCTTCCAACTCCTGAGGCAGATTTTAAATGGTTTGAGGTGATATTTCTGGCTAGCTTTTTTTAGCGATTTAGTTTATTTATGAGATTGGACAGCTAACCCCATACTTAACCCTCCTCTTTTATCCGGGCTTGGAGTCGCCAGAGGCCCCGGAGTGGCTCCAGGCAGAGTTTGATAATGGCGTAAAACATACTAACCACAGTAACTCATACTGGCGTGAGCATCTTACCAAAGCACTACCACTACGTCTCCCGAGGCAATCCTCGATAAATCGCTCATCAAATAGTTCACACCCAGATTCGTGCTGACGTTTTCTTATTAAGAGTTGTCACAACTTGGAATTCTCTCCTAGCCAGGGTGACTACACTCCTCTCAGTGGGTAGGTTCAAAAAGAGGTTTGACAAACATGTTATGACATACGGATTATCATCTCCCACTTGCTAGTTGTTATTACAGCCCTTTCCTTAGATCGCGAACGTACCCTTGCTCATCTATAAGCTCTGTTTCCGCACCCTTGCTTACATTTCCGTCTTCTCAAACCATTTTCACTACCATCAATTAACTTATTTAATCATTTACATTGTCCCGGAGTTTTCTTATTCTTATTAGCATTGGAATTTCCTCTTTATTGTTATTCACAATGCAAATGACCGAATTCCAGACTGGTTACGTGATAGCTACTGGTATCTAACAACTGTTGTGCCCTCAAACAAACACACTTATTCAAATAACTGGACATAAAAATGTATAAATAACTGACAACTGATTAGAATTATAGTAGTCGAACGGTTTATACTGGTTTATTTTGGATTGAACAGCAGATCATTTTCCTCCAAGACTAATGCGTTCCTTTAGTCAGAAGAACCTTATTGGATACATAAAACTATACTTTAACGTGAGGATGAGAGTGTGAAGAAGCTGATTGGTCAATACAACCTGGGCGAATCAATAGTTAATATTAGTTTTTATTCCTCCATCCATTGGACTTCACCGAACACCTGGAACCGTACCGAAAGAACAAGAATCGAGCGCGAAGAAATCAAATTGGTTTACACTAGCTCGTGAAAAAGATAGTGGATATTGGATATTGGATTCACTGTTTTGTGACCTAGTCCTTGTGAAGGCCCGAGCGGGTTAGTTGTTTCCGTGGATTGTCAGGTACTTTCTGCTCTTTTGTTTTTGAAGCTGTTGTATAATTCTTTTTCAAAACTCACGAACTTGAAGCCAGCTGGTTTAGTACCTGTTGTTTATATGAGTTACTTATATGAGGTCAGCGAAATAATTAATAGGGATGAGATTTAATTACTATGACTTCCGCGATACGTTCGTATCTCTAAAGAAAACTCACTCATTTGATTTCAGAACAGACCATCATTGAAATATATGTGTTTAATCTCCTATGAATGGCTTCGAGGCTCTAGAATTTGCGAAAGACCTATAACTTTTGGTTTGCACCAAAACCTTATTTCAAATATCACTTGGTTAATACCATATTGTCGGACATATAAATGGATTTTAACTCGCCTCATGTTATTTCGCAACTATTTCAAATCTCTGGTGGCATCTAATGAAGATTAGTGTCGACAACCAACTACATTAAATTTAGTTCAACACTTACGAGTTCGTGTATTTTGAAATCTGTATGGGTGGTTGTCTCAGCAGTGTGGTTTTTGAAACAAACGACTATCACATTGCAAGGCATTAAGTTGGTTACTTCAACGTCTCCGCTTCCGCAAGAACGTACCTAGAGTATATACATAATGATCAATGGCTTAGCGCTATTTAGGTGTTTGAGACTGGATTGTGTTTATTCACCGTCAGTGACTTACAACTCACAGCAATTTTTACGGCCATATGTGAAAGCAGAATTATGAATCCAGATACGTAATTAAGTAGTTCCGCTAAGATACTAACTGAATAGGTGCAATAAATCGAAGGTGAGTATCGAGAGAGCAATTCAATGACCCATAATTCGTTTAAATGCTATTTACACATGTAGACTTTAGTAACAACTGAACATCTAAATGTGTAAATCCGAATCTCAGCATATTCCTTCTCAATCTTTTAGTGTCGATTTCCCCCATATTTTTCTACTTCTAGAGTAATGTATGTCCTTGCCTCTTGATTTCTTTAAATGCTAGACCCCATCAGGAAACTGTTCGATCTTCACATCGCTTAGATTGTTCCTTCTCTAAAGAATATGCTGAGATAAGCGTCACTGGTGTGCTGACTAAAGCCTATATGCCTTGGTATGAAAGGGAGGGAACAGTCCGCTCTCTCTTGAAGTCCTCTAATATAGCCCCTACCAGGAAGGTCCTGTTTACTTCCTTGTCGTGGTGTGACTGTCTTTTACATAGCTGAGATGATAAAGTGAGTGTTCGCCGCTGAAGCCGAATTAAAGGGTACGGGAATCCATTTAAGGGAATTAGGAAACTCGGGTTCCATATCAGCGGTACACATGGAATTTAGGGTCCTTAGGGATTGAGTGGCGTATGAACCCATTGTTAGTCATTGGCCACCATAGGACCGCATCTGCTAATGTTGCTTCACTGCGTAGTTGGTTGAACCTCTGGCTCAAATGCTTGAGGAAGCCACCTGATTCAGTTTGGGCACTTCGGGAATATCCTAACCACCCACAAATGTGCGGGCATAAATATTTAGGTGCCCCTTTGTACCAACCTTTATGTGCTTAAATAGTAATAATAATAATTAGGGAGATCTTCCACAAAGGAAATGTAGGCTTTTAACAGAACAGCTAAGAAAATTTGATTACTGCGGCCTTCGCGTTTTGTTGGTCTTTTGGTGTAGGTATCTTTAAAATAAATCATTTACATTATGACTTCCTCTTTATTCTCTGTGTAGAATCGTGACTTCAATAAATCGTTAAATGTAGTTACGACATCCGCTACGGTCACAAAGGCTAACCTTTAGATTTACAACGCAAAGTCATTTGTTGTCTTAGGTTGCTAAAGGTTTCCTGGCTTTTGTGGTCTCCACCATATAAATAAGCTCGGATGGAGCAAAAAACTTTTTACTGAATTCGGATTTACTTATCAAAATGCTAATGAGGCTGAATGTTCATAATCAGTCGTGGCAATCGGCTACTTTAAAATTGGACGCACGAATTGTTATTTGTATTAAACTTTATAGCACTTAATGTGTAATTCTGAGTAAATATAGTTGAAGAAGTCTTGAATGTTGCATAGGCATACGAGTGAGTACACTCCTCCAATATTGCTAGATTCTAAGTTGTTTTCTGCTTGGCACACTATCATGTGAAAGGGGATTTTTGACTTTTACAATCGTTTTGTATTCAAATGTATGATTTAGCTTATCCAATGGATTCCAATCTTTTAAGAGCACCTGATGGTCATGTTGTAGGTAATATACCTTCAGCTTCACTTAAATCACTATCAGAAGTCAACCTGGCACTGAATCCGTCAAAACATTAAGTTGCGTAGCTAGAATTCGTTGCGCTACTCTTCTTTTTGTGAGGCTTCTCGATCTTTGTCACATTGTCTTATCGTGCACATCAATATCTCCTGTTAGCTTCTGTGTAATAAATTCGTGTTTCGTAAGACAGTGTGACCTAAACCTTACCTTACTGTCCAAACTTTGCCACTAATCGTTTTCTCTTTTCTGAAGGTATAGCCATTCACTATCAAAAATTTACTGCACTTTTTAATTTCTATATATTCCAACCCAATTCAAATAAGGCATGAATCATTTATCTTGGAATATAGTCCTCTAACTTTATATTTTGCAACATTTTAAATCCTAATAACTGTTTATAAAATAGTCAGACTAACTGATTTCGCATTAAATCATGCTTTCAATGAAACAGTGCGATTTGTAATCTAATCTACTATCTTTGCATTTTTTATAACTTGCATATGCCCATATTAATACTCTCCTTCATTAATTTGCGCCCTAGTTAAAGTCAACCACTAACAGCACCCACCATTTTATTTTGTTCACTGATTTGCCTTCTAAACAACTAGTCAACACATTTTAGGGGCCCAAAACTATTTGGACATTGTTTTTTATCCAGGAAGTTAAGTGATTTATCCGAATTTTTATTCCATTAACTTTTGATTACATATGTCTTAAATTTGTTCTTGTACGTCACTAACTGTTTACACTTCCCTTCACCATTAAGTATAAATGATTACTGCGTGCTTGTTTGACATCCTCTCTTGTTCCTATCTTTTCTAGATTCTCGTGTTAACTGGTTAAACTACTGCCGTTGAATAATCTATCTCACCATTTTCTTCACTTCCCTGCAATAGCAGCAACAACAACGGGCCTGTATTCTAAACATAAACTTATTGACGACTGGACATCAGCATTCACTAAAAGTTACTGAGACTGGATAAACACGCATCAAGCTAGCTGAAGGCTTCATTATATCTACTATGGATATGAAAGCTCATGAAGTTCATTCAGGTCATTTTATGGTTAGTATTCTTGAAGATTCTGAAGATGAAACAGAAGATTCAAACGATTTAATCACTGAACACATCACTACATACAATTCTAAACATAACAATGATCAATCTAATGTTAAAGATAAAAACAGACTGGTTTTTGAAAATCTTGCTTCACTTTTTAAATATTTGGAAGTTGCTTATAATGGAAAATTGACAAGCCCAAAATGGGATAAATTTCGTGGTTTACGATTTGCAATAAAATATAAAATTCGACTTAACAATATAATTTGGCGAGAATATCATATGCAATGTAAGTTTCCAATTTATTGAATAACTTTGTATAGATGTTAAAAAATTAAAGCCAGTTGTTGTACAATTCCAGACGCCTATATGTGAAGATCATTCGAAAACTGAAGTAATTTTGCGCATTTTCTAATATTATTATTATTATTACAGGCAGTTATATTAGAAGGAAAATATTGGAAAAGGCGTGTAAGTACTTTATGTAAGGAGTATAGTCTTTGGAGAGTATTTGCTAAAAATAGAATATACAGCTCACAAAATAGACAAATTATACAATGTGCTAATGAATTACTCGAGGAGTCGGATTTATGTTCTTATCAATTTAGTGATTTATCAAAGAATACATCATCAAAACTTATGGAAGAAATAATGATGGATATTGATGAAAATCTAGATTTATTTTTTGATCAACCAATAACATTTCCACATCCAAGAGATTTACCTACTTTGAGTAATGCTGATATAATTCAACCAGGTTTACAACAACTTCAACCTGATAGAAGTTCATGCAATGATATGTCGTATAATATATTTCAATCTAGTGAGCCTAACTTGACATTTCAATATAATAGTAGTTCATCTGATGTACATTCATGTGAAAATGGATGGTCTAAATCAAACTATTTGTCTAATAAATATGTACCTGAGACATTTTCAAGCACAATTCTACCTCTTCCTGAGACTAAACCAAATTGTAACCTACCTCTTACTGAACGTTTCAATATAGTTGATTCGTCTTCTCAACCTTGCTCATCGGTTTTGCCAGAAGATCATAAATCTGGTTTTTTGGATATGACTACCACCAGTAGTGAAGGATGTGGATCTTATTTAAATAACAATATTAACGAAACAGATTACCATGGTCCCCATCCCTATCGACCATCGTTTCCTGTATCTTCCAATCGTTACTTTCTACATCAACCCAGAGTTGCTGGTCAACATGAAAGCAGTAACAATTCTGTTATTATGGAGTCGAAATGTGAATTAACAACGAGTTTAATGCATCCAAAAGATCATGTAACTGAACCTATGCAATCGTCTTGTTATAGTATAGAATCAAGTAAAGAAAAAGGTATTCATCCAAACAAATCTGCTCTTTTAAATGCTTTACTGAGTGGTAGTAGTAGTAGTAGTAGTAGTATTAGTCGGAATTCCAACTTGTCTAGTGATTGCATGAACATGAGTGCATTTCAAGGAACTTCGAAGTGTTGTCCATCGCCTTTACTTTGTAATGCTTTAAACAATTCAGAAAACTGTTTTAATATTTCGTTCAATAAAAATCCAATCCATCTCAAAGATGCATCAAACAAATTTGTCCAGATCAAAAACAACCCTAGTCCTTTTACAAATCCAAAAGAATTATCAAATCCATACACACACTCTGGTTATTCTTATAATAATCATCCATCCATTACTTCAATGAATACAGTACAAAATGTTCCGATTCCCAAGATTGATTCATCGGATGTTACAGATGTAAGTTGTTTTCGTTTTTATCAATATACCATGCCATTAGGAAGTAAGTACTAGGTAAGGATGGCAAATCAATAGATGAAATATTGAAGCTTCATCAGTTGACGTGGTTGGGACATGTGTTACGTTTGCCTAACCACCGAATGACTCGTCAAACTATGTTTTGCGATGTAGGAATAGGTTGGAAGAAAGCTAGAGATGGCCAAACGAAAACATGGCACAAATCCATGAAGTCATTGACAAGTGGTCTGAGTCATGTCGGTAGGTATCGACAACCTAGATAGGGTCCACGAGATGATAGTAATCGATGGTTAGAGACCCTGAATGAAATGGCTCAAAACCATTTGCAATGGCGCCGGTGCATTTATTCTTTGTGTTCTCTCAAATCTTAATCTTCTGGATTCGTCAACACCTTTACCTTTGTCTTTCTAATCTTATCTCACTGAATGATACTTCCTCAATATTATCTTCAAATCCTAATCTTATTTATTAGCAGTAATTCTTCTACTGTCTCTACCACTATGGGATTTGAATTGACAATTGCGTCTCTGTGCTAATGTTGTATGGCAACCTGAACTGATGTGCTTACGTACGAAGTTCTACGTTGTAACTGACTGACTGAACACACCATTAAAAACGAGTTAGTTGTTATTAGTGTGAATAATTTTAGTCACATTTGTCGCATATTTAAACTTTGTGGTCTGTTTCGTGGGGTTCATCATAAGATCTTTAGTGAACTGAAGAGTTTCGGGCGCGTAAGCAGATGGCTAAGCACGATTTTAAATCCTTCAAACATTGAAATCTATGATGGGCGTGTATTTAGTTTTTGGATCTGATGTAAACCTTGAGTTATGTTGTTACCAAACCAAATTGTGTGCGAGTTTGCTGCACAGTATATTTCTTACCATCTTAGTCAAGTGCCGATGGATTTGCTGCTTTTATCTGATCCTCTGTACCTAACCTCAGCATTGTTCAATAAATGGTTCTCCCACATACAAACAATACTTTAAACAGAACTATAATGAAACACAAACGCTCTAAATAAAACCATATAATCTCTTCATTGTAATTCACTAACATATTTTATTCAAGTGAAAAACTAGTTCCTGAAAAGCCAAACGAAGAAAATCACCTCAGGAAGGATAACTACAAGAAATTGGTAAAATTGTGATCCTTGATTAATTGTCTTTGAATAACTAGCCTTTCGTAGATTTATGTGCTTCTTCTAAAATGGCTTTTGATGATACCTACTTACTTACTTACGCCTGTTACCCCCAATGGAGCATAGGCCGCCCACCAGTTTTCTAAAACCAACTCTGTCCTGGGCTTCCCTCTCAAGTTCTGTCCAATGTTTGTTCATTCCTCTCATATCTTTCTCTATTTCTCGGCGTAATGTGTTCCTTGGCCTTCCTCTTTTCCTTCTGCCTTGAGGGTTCCATGTGAGGGCTTGTCTTGTGACACAGTTAGGTGCTTTTCGTAATGTGTGTCCTATCCACTCCCACCGCTTCTTCCTGATTTCCTCCTCCACTGGAATCTCGTTTGTTCTCTCCCACAGTACGTTGTTGCTGATAGTGTCTGGTCAACGAATCCTCGCTATTTTGCGTAGACAACTGTTCATAAATACTTATATCTTCTGGATGATGGCTTTGGTAGTTCTTCAAATTTCCGCTACATACAGTAGAACTATCTTGACATTTGTATTAGAAATTCTGATTTTGGTGTTCATTGAATGTTGTTTGGAGTTCCAGATATTTTTCAACTGTGCAAATGCAGCCCTTGCTTTGCCAATCCACACCCTCACATCTGCATCGGATCCACCTTGATTGTCGATGATGCTGCCCAGATATGTAAAGGTGTTGAAGTCCTCCAAGGCATCTCCATCAAGAGTGATTTGGTTGGTGCATGTTGTGTTGCATCGGAGAATTTTGCTTTTTCCTTTAAGTGTATTGAGACCTACTGCTGCAGAGGCTGCTGCTACACTGGTGGTCTTCTCTTGCATTTGTTGTTGCGTGTGCGATAGAAGAGCCAGATAATCTGCGAAGTCCAGATCGTCCAGCTGCGTCCTAACTGTCCAGTTGATACCGTACTTCCCTCCAGATGTCGACGTCTCCATAATCCAGTTGATTGATGACCAGGAGAAAGAGAAAGGGTGAGAGTAAGCAACCTTGCCTGACACCGCTTTTACATAAAAACTATCGATCATCGCGAACTTAATTCAAGCTATCTAGTCACAGAACACAACTGGATCAGGGCTTTAGTTAACTATTTATGCTTACATCGCAAAGTAAATATTTGGTCATTGCATTCGCACCCATATGTAAGCTGTGAATGATTTCTCGGGCTAACTGCTTTTAGGTTCCCGTTAAGTATTAAATGATTATGCAAACCAGTATCTCAACCACTGTATAAGTAAAACTGGTTGTTTAGTGGTCGTTGCAAAAGGGATTTCATACTTAAGTGGCCAATCAGTCAGTGATCATGACCCATAAGATGTTATACTCCAAATTCTTATAGCTGAGGGTACAGAGTCTGTTCTCCCTTTCAAGATGGTTTCACATGACCATGTACCTTTAACTTCTGCCAAGGAAGTCCGATTTACTGTCAACGCACTAGGGGGACTGTTATTTGCGAAAGTGAGAGGAGAACAAGTGAATATCCGGCGTTTATACCACGCCGCTGGGTTTAAAGTGTTCACGTAGGGGAGTTGAAAAACCTTCGTTTCAGACGAATAGTGTATACATATCTGAGATTAAAGAGGAAATAAATGGTGTATGGACATATTTTTTGCCTATGACTACCATAGGATGATACCTCTGTTGTCATGTGAATTAGACCCTGAAGCCAAAGGCTCTAGGATTGGCTCGCTAAGAACACTAGTCCCAGTTTCGGCGCATGAAAATTATCCCTGCTCACATATGAATTTATTTTGTACAGTGAATATTATTTTCATTTCTCAGATTTTGTGTATAAAATAAAACAAATGTACTGGTAATTGAAATACCAACTTCAGTTGTATGTGGACAGTGTTAGTGTAAGTCGATCTACTTCACTTTAACACTACTACCTGAGTATATAAACAAGATGAATGATAAAGACATAGAAATAGAAGTAATATTAACGAGGATTAATCAAAAGGACAAGGATAAACGTAGTAAAAGTCAAATAAAATTTGGACTCAAAGAGTTTAAAGTAGTACTATGTTTAGAAATTTTTTGCAGAAAAAGAATCAATGCATCTGGACCTTCCATTACTGGTTCGCTTCATATACTTCATCTCTATGGACACTGGCTGCGGTAATTTTACGGTAACTTGGAAGTTCGCATCCTCCTACATAATTGGTTTGAATTTAGTTTGGTTTTAGTATTTCTCAATTAAGAACAACTTAGACATGCTTCTTATGTGAAACAGGCTATATGTTAAGCGAATAGCGCGGAAGACTAATGCGTGACACTTAAATAAATAATCTCCTGGTTGATGTTAATTTTACTCTAGTTTATTCATTTTTATATCGATTCAATGCTGATCAATTACAAAAGTGATTCAGTCAGTCAGTCAGTCAGATACAACGTAGAACTTCGTACGTAAGTACATCAGTTCATTTGACATACCACATCAGCACAGAGATATAATTGTCAATTCAAATCCAATAGTAGAAGAGGTAGTAAAGGTATTAGAAGTAATCGGAGAGGTTAGAATTAGAAGATATTATTCACCAAGTATGATTCAATGAGATAAGTTTAGAAAGTAAAAACTTGAGGTGTTGAAGAATCCAGAAGATTAGGATTTGAGAGAACACAAAGAATAAATGCACTGGCGCCATTGCGAACGATTTTGAGCCATGACATTCAAGGTCTCTAGCCATCGATTATTATCATCTCGCGGACCCCAACCAGGTAGTCGACAACTACCGACATGGCTCAGTCCACTTGTCAGTGACTTCATGGATTTGTGCCATGTTTTGGTTTGGCCGCCCCTAGCTTTCTTTCAACCTACTCCTACACCACAAAACATAGCTCGTCGAGGCAGTCGGTGGTTAGGCATACGTAACACATGTCCCAACCACCTCAACTGATGAAGTTTCACTACTTCATCTATTGATCTGCCATTCTTACCTAGTACCCGTTTCCTAATAACAGCATTGCTTACTCGGTGGTCCCAGGATATACGAGCAATGCTTCGAAGACACCTATGATCGAAAACTAGTAACCTACGAATATCCTCTACTCTTACTGGCCATGTTTCACAGCCATAAAGTAAGACGGATCGATTGGATCGGGTAATCTTAACTAAACGGGAAATCACAGTGTAGTTACAATAAAATAAAATAGTTTCATACTGAATAAATCGATGTAGATAAAAACACACTGAAATCAACGAATAGAGACTAATTTAGATTAGAGTGTGATTTGACCTAAATTTAGTATTTTGTGTTACAGCATTACATTCCTAACAATAACCAGACTAGCATAGCACTATGCCCCAGACTGGAAACTATTTTTATTTTTATGTTTTTTTGACTTACTCTAATGCTATAATCAACATAGTTTATCATCATAAACAGTGTTTAGGGGCAGATAAACAACAGATTTTCTAACTACCTTATTCAATAAATGTTTTTAACTTCACCAATTGGCTTACTACATCTCTTATCCTATGCTTCTGATGTGTGTCGCTCGCTTAGTGATCCCATCATCTATGGCGCAGGTGCATCCACTCTTTGTGTTCTCTGTAATTCTAACGTTCTGGATTCCTCTTAATCTCTACCTTTCTCCTTCTAAATTTATCTCACTGAATTATACTTTTCGAATCATATCTTCTCTCCCTAATCTTCTCCATTCCTGTTAATACTTCTACTATCGCTATGATTCCTGGATTTGAACTGACAGTTGCGTCTCTGTGCTGATGTGTTATGGTAACCTGAACTGATGTACTTACGTAGGAAGTTCTGCGTTGTATCTGTCTGTCCATTATATATGGAACAATACTTTCGATATACAAATAATGAAACAGTATCGACCCATGTGTATGATCAACCTTGAAAGATAGTGTTTTACAATCATAGATTAATAAATATTGGTTTTCAGTATATTCACCTTGTGTTGGACATACGAATATTTCAGCGACATTGTTCGTAGAGCAAGTCAGCTAAAAGCATGAAAGATTTCTTCACATATGAATCTACTATGACTGACAAAAATGCCAAGATTATGTTTATCGAAAAATATCTCTAGGATAACTAGTAACAGTACATTATTTCGATTATGTAGTGGCGTACTATTCAACCAAATTCTGTGTTGATTATCTAATGAACAATTCCTGTAGGCCAAACATCAATTGTTTCATTTGACTAAATAAATTAGATACCTTAATACTTTTATATGTTATTGTGTTCTTAAAAACATGTGATTTCATACACCAGTCAAGTACAGTTTCTGATACGTTTAACCAAATAACCCTATCGACGAGCTATGTTATGTGGTGTGGGAGTAGGTTGGAAGAAAGCTAGGGGCGGCCAGACCAAAACATGGCAGAAATCCATGAAGTCACTGACAAGTGGACTGAGTCATGTTGGTAGATGTAGACTACCTGGTTGGGGTCCGCGAGACGATAGTCACCGATGGTTAGAGACCTTGAATGACATGGCCCGAAATCGTTTGAAATGGCACAAGTGCATTCATTCTTTGAGCTCTCTCAAATCCTAATCTTCTGGATTCGTCAGCACCTCTACCTTTGTCTTTTTAACCTTATCTCACTGAATTGTACTTCTTGAATAATATCTCCGAACCCTAGTCTTCTTCTTCATTACCATTAATACCTCTACTATCTTTATCACTATGGGATTTGATTTGATATTTGCGTCTCTGTGGTAATGTGGTATGGCAACCTGAACTGATATACTCACGTACGAAGTTCTACGTTGCAACTGACTGAAATAACTCTATAGTTTATCGATTCTTTTACCACAGAACTTTTTTTTTCTTACTTCATTCTTGTTTTTAGAAAATGTCAATTCCAATGGGGAGGAACTATGGCGTATCCAATGTCGGTTCTGTAACTCAGAAGCATGAATCCAGTTTATCGGTATCTCGAACAGATGCTTCATCTTTACCTATGTCTCATAATCGTTTGATAAAAAATTGTAAAACAGAATATATTAGCTTTGGTGTTACTGATCTTTTAATGCGAAATCCCAATGATAATTACTTCAATAACACTGAAACAATTTCTCAACAAAATTCACTTGATTTACAAAAATCTTTTATTAGAAATAATAATGACAGTGTATCATCTGTTAGTGGTGGTGGTCTACCGTTAGAACGAAAAAATAATTCAAACATACAAACATTGGATCCAAACAATTCTATCATACAAACTACTATTATCAAAGGCAATAATGAATTTTCTACATCAACAATGCAAAAAAATCTTTCTATTACACCGAATACAGGTTTTAATTTTTCCAATTGTCATTCACCATCAGAATCAAATATGTTTTCTTTTTCAAATAATAATCCACTTGGCAACAATGTATTGTACACAGAAGATTCAAATTCTGAATTAGAAACTTTAGTACCTGGTAGTTGGAATGAACCTCAAATGTTTTCATCACATACAATTAATATTACTCTAAATGATATGGATCAATTTCCGAAAACATCAATTACAAATGATAAATGTGTCAATGGTAGGTTTATTATGATGGTGGTCGATTTTGTTGACGTCGGGATCATCATTTGTAGTGTACACTGACGAGCGAATGAGCGACTGAAGCGAATCGTATGAAAAAGCGCTATAAGATAAAATTGTCATGCGAGCGCCGGAAAGCAGGCAAGTGAGTGATATGAATGAACGCCGGACTCGCCATTTGTGGTGGCCAATTTACTGCATGTTCTTATGCTTCGTAATTAGCTCGTCTAGACAATCGTTACTAAGGTAGCGGCGTCTGATGGTTATTAAATCAGAATACGTTTATTTTTGGACATACCACAAAGCGAAGTTGAAAAGCAACGAACAAGGCATACGAAACGACGTGAATTGGAGAAGGCTAATGAGCCAACTCTTAGGATTAATTTGACGATCCTGACAACAAATCGAATACAACCAATCCAGTTGGTAATCTCGAGGAAAAATCGAACAGAACCACTAACTGGAAATCCCGACGCCGTACGTCGACAAAGCAACTCAGAAACTTAATGAATTCACTGAACGAATCAACAAACCAGACTCGATATACAATACAGACAACTCATTCTTTCATCGAATAAAAGCAGCAAAGCCATTCTCTGCGTCGCATCATTCGTTTTAATTCGCTGCTTCGTTCATTCTTTCGCGTATTCGCTCGCCAGTGCACTACAGGTTTACTCATGAAAATTGATCAAATCATGCTGTTTTTTTTCTTTGATTAAGTTTGAATTCAAGTTTATATACTGTGTAATAATAATACAAAGTTTATTTGTTTGAGATAAACAAATTAAAGAAATCTATTTGAGTATTTACTATTTTGATCTACAGTAGAGATTTTGCTTTCTCTCACCATCTGGTAATGACTTGTTTGTTTCAACCTAAAAATATACAATTTTTATGGGCTAGATTATTATTGAGAAAGATAGATGACAGTATGTTATTGTAGCTTACTTAATATATTATCAGTAAAGTTTTAAACGTTGCAATTAATCGGCATCTGAACTAGTGATAGGGAGTGAAGCAGTTGAGCATGTTGATCGCTTCACTTATTTCGGCAGTCTTATCAGTGCTGATGGTTTGGTGACTGACGAAATCTCGTTATGGATACAGAAGTCTTGATTGGTTTTTGTCAACGTGTGTCACTTATGGCGTAGGCGAGATATCCGTTTGCTGACTAAAGGACGACTTTACTGCGCAGCAGATTGCTTCATCTTACTTTATGGTTGTAAAACCTGGCCAGTCTGAGTAGAGGATATTTGTAGGTTACTGGTTTTCGATCATAGGTGTCTTCGGAGCATTGCTCGTATATCCTGGGACGACCGAGTAAGCAATGCTGTTATTAAGAAACGGGTGCTAGGTAAGAACGGCAGGTCAATAGGTGAATTAATGAAACTTCATCAGTTGAGGTGGTTAGGACATGTGTTACGTATTCCTTACCACTGAACTGCCTCGTCAAGCTATGCTTTGCGATGTAGGAATAGGTTGGAAGAAAGCTAGGGACGGCCAAACTAAAACATGGCACAAATCCATGAAGTCATTGACAATTAAACTGAGTCATGTTGGTGGGTGTCGACTACCTCGTTGGGGTCCGCGAGATGATAATAATCGATGTTTAGAGATCCTGAATGTCATGACTCAAAACTATTTGCAATGACTCTGGTGCATTCATTCTTTGTGTTCTCTCAAATCCTAACCTTCGGAGTTCGTCATCACCTTGATGGTTTTCTTTTTAAGTTTATTTCACTAGATTCTACTTCTTGAATAATATCGTCGAACTCTAATCTCTCCGATTACTGCTAATACTTTTACAACATCTACTACTAACATGCGATTCGAATTGACAATTGCACCTCTGTGCCAATGTGTTATGGCAACTTGAACTAATGTACGTACGTACGAAGTTCTACATTGCTGTTGATTGATTGATTGATGCTAGATATAAATATCACATAATACCGACTAGTAATCATAATATATAAGCTGGCTGGCTACTTGAGTTGATTATTTATGCCCTTTATTCACTTTGGTATTTAATGGGGGGAAGATTGATAGCGTTAATGATTGATTATGTTTTTAGTACACGTGTTAATATTCTGTTAGTGTTCATTTTTCTCTCAAATGTTTCAATTGTCTTGCATACAATCATTGTTTCCACGACTTATATCGGCAGATTATTTCATATATTGAAAAAAGTTTCAGCAAGATAAGTGCTCAATGTTTGAGCATTAGGAATAGTAATTTACTTAGTATTTTCTCTTGATGCATATTTTAATACCGACTTAATTCCCAAAAACTAGTTTTTTTTTAATAGTGATCATTGACTATCTATAGTTAATTTCTGCAATAAATAAATTTATGGTTTGTATGAAATATTTACTACTACTTAGGACTTGATTTTAGATTCTGCCTTACTGCCAGTAAATGATTGAGGTTCTCTAAGTATTCATCTCACTTACAATTCATTCATGCACAACAATTAATCTAGTATTATTATCATTTCTCTAGTATCATCATCTACTAAGATTATTGAAAGTAATCATTCATCATCAATACGTGGACGATCCAATTCAGCTGGGAATTTATTCTCACTTCAACATAATCCAATGCCTAGTTGTTCAGTTCAAGACTCAGCTACAACAACATCAAGTTATGGCAGTACAGAAATTCTATCTCCAATGTTTTGTAATAATCATAAAGGATTTCTATATGCTACTTCACCATCGTGTTCTCCACCTTCAGTTTCAGAACAAACTGATCAACAAGCTAAACATATTCTAGGAAATTCCTGTGAAGAGCGTCGACGTCAATCTATGCAATCTGGTTTACAAACTTTGCGTCACCTGTTAAAATTACACTCCAATGGAGATAATCATGTTGGTAATAATCGTCCAACCACTCGTAGAAATCTTAATACTTTAGAAATGTCTACCATGTCTGGAACTACTTATTCACTTGGTGATACAGATATGCCCAATGAAATGCATAATGTTGGATTACGTTCATCGAGTGGTTTGGATTTTGTATCGGATGAACAAATGATGGCAACAGGAACTGCTGAAGTTGGCAGTACTGGTCGAGCATCAAAAGCTGCAACATTAAGAAATGCTGCAGAATTAATTCGAAAATTAAGAGATGAACGAAATTTATTAGAAACACAATGTACAAATCTTAAGAGTGAAGTGAAAGCTTTAAAAAGTGCAATTAAGTAAGCACCTTGTCAGTCTTATATTGACATGCATAATTTTGAATTTCAATTCGTTATGTATTAAATTGTATACAATTCAGTTTTAATATCATTGATGTATATATTCAAATATGGCTTCGTTACTTAATTTGGATTTTAAATTCTATTTTATGTGAATATAAGGAGTTGTGTTTTGCACTAGTTATCAACCCATTATTGCTTACATTTATATTGATTCACCTTCTTTTCTCATTACATTTTGTCTTGATACTTTATTTATTGTGATAAGTTTAAAATCATTTTGACTTATATTTTCCAGTGTACCAGTCATACATATGTCCATTAAACGATATTAAATTCGAAATCACCAATCAATCATTGTTAGACCACCATTATAAACCTGGAAGCACCTAATGACGGCCGTTTCGTCCTGGTGTGGGACTCATCAGCAGTGACATTGCGCATCCACTAGATTCCTGCACCTTGCAGGATTCGAACCCGGGACCTCCGGTGTTGTGCACGAACGCTTAACCATCGGACCACTGCGCCGACATCCAACGGTGTTAATGTCTAACTCTGATTGATCTACGCATTTTACGCGACCTCAACCATTTGTATTTGGTAGTTACTTCCTACACCCCACAGGGTTGAACTCCTCCACTGGTCACGTCTTCTCAACTAGAACGCCGAGAATTTCCTCACGAAACCAGTCACTAGTGTGCACTGTTACGATATTTTCGTTGGAAACTCTAGTAAAGTGCAAATATAGATACACACACACATATTCCTTAGTCATAAAACCTCAGAATAGCGAACTTAGATAGATTAAAGATCAAATTGGCATAATTGTGGGTAACGACGTCTTTTCTGCACTTTAAATAGTCATTTAGTAGTAGTTGTTTATAGATAGTTTGAAAGAATTTATTTCACAACTTTTGTATGTGTTCACGTAACTATTATCATTATAGGGTTATGCTGATTGTGAAGTTACTGTGAAATCATGAATCGGTCAATGTTAGACCACTGTTAGAAACCTGCAAGCACTGGACAGCCGTTTCCTCCTGGTATGGGACTCATCAGTATCACGAATCCATGATTCCCGCTCCCCGCACGAACTGAACCCAGGACTTCCGGTCTTGCGCGTGAATGCTTAACCTCCCGACCACTGAGCTGGATCCAACTGTTGATGAGTCCCACTCCGAGACGAAACCGCCGGCCAGTGCTTCCAGGTTTCTAATAGTGGTCTAACATTGACCTATTCATAATCTCAAAGTTAATTTTTATAGTGAGTTTATTTTCTCATTAATTCAGATGTTATTGATCTGAAACTCAGAAATCTAATATTTCAGTTATGAATTAAGCTTAACAGTTAAGTTTTAACTGATATGAAAGTAAAATGACCTACAAAACTGATTTAATCCAATTATGTATATTTTTCTGTTAATAATAATTTTTCTATAAGTTTATTCTTCTATTCAATAAAGAAAAGACATTCCAATGTTCATTGGTCTCCTCTTTGATCTCAACTCACTTGCGGATCTGGGTCAATAAATCCGTTCTTGTGAGCAGCTATCACTTTGCCACATAGTATCATTACATCCATATACATTCATCAGTATTCGATTCATTCATGTGAACAATTATAAACCCAATTCTTCGATCATCATGCTGTCAGTTTTATTCATTAGCTCTTTTCCAATGGAGTTGACACCTACAATTGGATCAACAACGTCTTTAATGATATTAAATTCACAATGCAAAAGGAATCAAACAATAAACTATCATTCCTGGATGTATTAATTACCGGAGCTGATACAAGAAAACTGCAGATTCAAGTATTTCGGAAGCTAACCCACACAGATTTAATTCTCAATTACAGTAGCAACGACCTAAAAACTCACAAAATCAACTGAAACACATATGGAGCACCGGAAAACAAGGAGAAATATTTGATGGCTATCTTCTAAAAGAACGGCTATCCACACAACTCCACCAAAAAACATCAACTGAAATCGTCAACAGAAGCGAAATCAAGTACAAGAACCAACAAATGGATCATCCTACCATACATAAAAGACATATCGGAACATACAACACGACTATTGAAACCATTTGGAATAGATGTGGCGCACAAACCAACAGAATCACTTCAATCAATCCTGTGAAGACCAAAGAACAAAATGAATTGCTCAAACTATGAAAAACACTACATGGGACAAAGTAGAAGATCTCTTCAGCCTTGTTTACTTGAACACCAATTAGCAGTCAAACGCCATGACAATTCGTCGCTTATATCAGTACATACGGATAACTACGGACATATATTCGATTGGAACAATCTGGAAGTGTTGGATAGAGGGAGTGCAAATAACACTAGAGAATTTTTAGAAGCCTGACACTCAGGTCAATCAAAAAACACATCGACATTAACCCAATTTATCAACCAATCAGGAAACTCATGGGTGACATAGGATCAAGAAACAGATCAAAGAGGATATACAATCAAAATATAGATGCAAGCAATGAGAAGTGTAATGTTCATAACAACCAATCAAGATCAAGGTTAACAGAACAAGCTACGAGTCAAACATGGAGGACTTCGAATACTTCACTTCTCGATCTGAAGCTTGTGCTGATAATATTGTTCAGCAGAAGAACAATGAAACCTCCACAGACAGACAGATACAACGCAGAACTTCCTACGTAAGTATATCAGTTCAGGTTGCCATGCCCCATCAGCACAGAGACGCAGCTGTCAGTTCAAATCCAAGAGTGATAGCAATAATAGAAGTATTAGCAGTAATGGAGAAGATTAGGGAGTGAAGATATGATATGATTCGAGAAGTATAATTCAGGGAGATAAATTTAGAAGCAGAAAGATAGAGATTATGAGGAATGCAGAAGGTTAGAATTAGACAGAACACAAAGAGTGGATGCATCTGCGCCATAGCAAACGATTTTGAGCCATGTTGTTCAAGGTCTCTAACCATCGGTGACTATTGTCTCGCGGACCCAAACCAGGTAGCCTACATCTACCAACATGACTCAGTCCACTTGTCACTGACTTCATGGATTTGTACCGTGTTTTGTTTTGGCCACCCCTAGCTTTCTTCCAATCTAAGAGAGGTATTACGGGGTGTAGGAAAGATTTGATTTTGACCAATTTGGTCTCGTGTGTTGGTACGGGTATGAGGGCGGTTGTCAGTTCCCGGCTGCCCAAACCGTGGAAGGTTGTTTCTCCACAACCAAAACATCCAGCTCAGAGAACGAAACTCTACCAGAATCATCCACCTGAGCTACAAATTTCCTCAACCAGAGTTGAAATTCTGTAAAATATTTTTATACTGATATCAATGTTATAATAGTTTTGATGTTTTGAGAGTACTAATCATGCGAAGTTCTCGAGTGTTAATCCATAGAGGTAATCTTAACCGTTATAAATAATCTAAATGGGTTTCAATATCGTTTATTTAAACCTTCATAACATCATCATCATCATCATTTTAATTATTCTTTGCGTTGAACTGACATACCTATTAAGAAATTCCAATTATTGCGTATCGATTTTTTCGCGTGATTTACTTAACTTAAACAATACTATAACATATAATCTAATATTTGATTGGTTGTGATTGAATAAAGAATTTTGCACAGTTTACGACATTCATAAACAATCAAATGAGACTATCATGAAAATCATAAATAAAGAAAAAAATCAAGGAAACAGACAAAATACGCGGCTTTTTCAGTAAATTCAAATGTGATTATATATATACACAGTTACTGATTTGTTCTATTGAACTGAATGTGTCTGACACTTCAATTATGTTCTATACTTATTCTCAACTTAAATTAAAAAAACAAACATATTTTCAATCTATCTTGCTTAGAGGATCATCTGACTGACTGACTGATGTATATGATTTTAATATTTACATCAGAAGCAGTAAACATGCCTCTATTTTTATTGGGTCATGTTATAAAATATGATTTTGTAAGTATCTTTAAACGAATTTAACATTTGTAGATTCAAAAATTAGATTACTACTGTGATGTTTCCCCGTCGAAATGCAAAGTGTTGCTTTAAGATTGGGTTGCATCGGCACCTGAACTAGTGATAGGGAGTGAAACAGTTGAGCATGTTGACTGCTTCACTTATTTCGGGAGTCTCATCAGTGCTGATGGCCTGATGACTGACGAAATCTCAGCACGGATACAGAAGACTCGATTGGCTTTTGCCAAACTGCTTCACTTATGGCGTAGGCGAGATATCCGTTTGCTGACTAAAGAACGAGTGTACTGCACAGTAGTTCGCTCCGTCTTACTTTATGGCTGTGAAACATGGCCAGTGAGAGTAGAAGATATTCGTAGGTTACCGGTTTCCGATCATTGGTGTCTCCGCAGCATTGCTCATGTATCCTGGGACGACCGAGTAAGCAATGCTGTTATTAGGAAACGAGTTCTAGGTAAGGATGGCAAATCAATAGATGAAACATTGAAACTTCATCAGTTGAGGTGGTTAGGACATGTGTTACGTATTCCTTACCACCGACTGCCTCGTCGAGCTATGTTTTGTGGTGTAGGAGCGGGCTGGAAGAAATCTAGAGGTGGCCAAACCGAAACATGGCAGAAATCCATGAAGTCACTGACAAGTTGACTGAATCATTTTGGTAGGTGTCGACTACCTGGTTGGGGTCCGCGAGATGATAATAATCGATGGTTAGAGACCTTGAATGATATGGCTCAAAACCGTTTGCAATGGCGATGATGCATTTATTCTTTGTGTTCTCTCAAATCCTAATCTTCTGGATTCTTCAACACCTCTAGTTTTGACTTTCGAAACTTTTCTCACTGAATCATACTTCTTGAATATCTTCTAATCCTAACCTCTCCGATTACTTCTAATACCTTTACTACCTCTTCTACTATTGGATTTGAATTGACGATTATATCTCTGTGCTGATGTGGTATGGCAACATGAACTGATGTACTTACGTACGAAGTTCTACGTTGCATCTGACTGACTGACTGACTTACTACTGTTATGAATATTTCTGTATCAATTTAATTCATGAATAAAGTCTAGTTAGTTAATAAGTAACTGGCGAGAGGAAACAGCCCAGATAGACGTCTTTTATACAAACAGCATTTCTGTAGGCTCGCTTGCTGTTATTCGAGTGGATTGTGAATACTACAAGTTTCTTATACAAAATCGTCTCAGTATATGTATTTCAAGACTTGACGATCAAAATATGCTACTGAGGCCTTCAGTGTTAGTTATATCTGTGGCAATAAGTAGAACTTTTCTAATTCATTTCAATTACCACTAACAGATTTTAATAGAATGTTATTAGCATATCGATTCACCATCTTCAGAAATTCCTAATTGAAGCACTTCAAAAACAATACAAAACAATTTAGCCTAATCAATAGTTCTGAAACTTCAGTGGAGATATCTGTTATATGTTATAGATTCATGAATACGTAGTGATATCAAGATCCGAAAAGAATTAGTATTACAAAACAGCAAAAAAACATCCGGTCCAGACTTTAACTTGTTTTCAAATTATTGATTTGAGTTGTCAGTTTCATGTTATAAAAATTTATCTGAATCTAAGCATTGAAGTAAATGACCTAGTGTTGTTCAGGTCACAACTGTCAAGGTTGATTACGTCATCTTCGGTTAAGTACTTGAACTTTGTCACTTGTGCTCTATGTTGTTGAATAATAAATGATTATAATATTTATGCTAATAATAATAATAATAATAATAATAATAATAATAATAATAATAATAATAATAATAATAATAATAATAATAATAATAATAATAATAATGTCGATCAATAACGAATACAATGATGGTACGGATGTTTTTCATGAAGCACGCATCTGTATTTTCATTCTATTATGATGACTGAGATTTTCACGTTCTGATCTTCAATGAAAGTTCTAACTCTGATATCATCAACTCGATCTGTTCCATCTATCAATAGAGTAGTCATTTTTGGGGTATCTAAAATACTCTAGACTGTATCTCATACTGCAAAACATTTATTAGCACAATAAATCAAAGTTCGGTTGTTTTAGTTCTGTCAATCAACCAATCAATCAACAGCAATGTAGAACTTCGTATGTACGTATGTACATCAGTTCAAGTTGCCATAACACATTGGCACAGAGGTGCAATTGTCAATTCGAATCGCATGTTAGTAGTAGATGTTGTAAAAGTATTAGCAGTAATCGGAGAGATTAGAGTTCGACGATATTATTCAAGAAGTAGAATCTAGTGAAATAAACTTAAAAAGAAAACCATCAAGGTGATGACGAACTCCGAAGGTTAGGATTTGAGAGAACACAAAGAATGAATGCACCAGCGTCATTGTAAACAGTTTTCAGCCATATCATTCAGGATCTCTAACCATCGATTACTATCATCTCGCGGGCCCCAACCAGGTTGTCGACACCTACCAACATGACTCAGTTCACTTGTCAATGACTTCATGGATTTGCGCCATGTTTTGGTTTGGCCGCCTCTAGCTTTCATCCAACTTATTCCTATATCGCAAAATATAGCTCGACCAGTCAGTCGATGGTTGGGCATACGTAGCACATGTATCAACCACCTCAACTGATGAAGTTCATCTATCAACCTGCTATCCTTACCTGGGACCCGTTTCCGTCTTAGTTCTATTTGATGATAGCACCCGTATTTTGTTTGCCCTTGTGACCAAAAGAAAACAATTGTTTACACAAATATATGTGTATTCGGTGCATACTAATTAAATTGTTTTCATTTCTTTTATTTGTTTGCTTGCTTGCTTATTTATGATTAGCATGTTTTGTGAAAAATTACCACAATCCAATTCCTTCACTTTGACAAGGCCAATAACAGATCAAACATTAAATTCTTATTATACTGAATGGTTTCATACTTATGTACGTAAACAAACTGAAGCAAATTGGAAATTTTATTTATTCAGTTTAATTATTGATAGGATATTCAAATCCTATTGTCATACAACTATACCAAGTTCACGTGATCAATTTATTCGATCTGTCTATAGTTGGTTAGATGCGAATTGTTCCTTAGTACAATTAAGACCTGGTATGTTGTTGTTTTTGATGAATGTGAATTTGTTTTTTATTGTTAACTTTTCTATGAAATACTTTTCATATTCTCTTTGTTTTTTGGTGTGTGTGTGTGTGCCTAAAACAGATATATTATAATTTTAAAATACTTTTTAATGTTCAATTTTAGTTCAGTTATATGTTTTTTTTATTGTTTAAGCGTTTAAAATATCAAATATTGTTAAGTCACACATTTTTGAAACTATGAATCAATCAATCAATAATTGTTAGACCAGTATTCGAAACCTGGAAGCACTGAATGACGGCCGTTTCGTCCTGGTATGGGACTCATCGGTGGCAGTGAGCATCCACGACTCCTGCACCCCCCAGGACCTTCGGTATTGTGCGCGAACGCGTAACTATCGGAACACTGAGCCGGTATCTAACGGTGTTAATGTCTAAATTCGATCAATTCACGGAGTTGCGCAACCTCATACACAGTCTTCGGTAGTAGTTACTGTCTATACCCGAACAGGTTGAACTTACTGCACTGGTCACGTCTTCTCAACTAGAACTCGGAGAAGATTCCTTACGAATTTAAATTCGCTTAGAAAATAGTCTAGAAAAATGAATGAACATTTAAAAAGGAGTATAGTTTCAATCTAAATAATTTTTATGGCGTAAAACAATTTGCGTATGTTCCCCATATATAAAAGAAATCATTTAGACATCGTTATTGAATTACAGTTTACTTTGTTCAATAAAGTACTAACAAAGCCTCAAGATAAAAAGTTCAAGGGTGATTTTCTACTCTCCATTCCTATCCAACATTAAATATGGTATTTGTGTTTAGCCAAAGCAAGCAATGATTTTTCTAAAAAAAATGATAAATTATTTATTATTGCAATATGCAACTTACTGTAAATAAAGCCAATTCAAGTAGGTATGGAATTTTCTATGAAAACTGATTATTATTCATTCATGGTTTGAAATTGTTTAAAAGAAAATACTCATGAAGAAATATTGGAATTTTTTTAAAGATTATTACGTTCTATATAGGGTTATGTAGGATGGTTGAGTTACATTTGTCGCTAACACCGTTAGATACCAGCTCAGTAGTCTAGAGGTTAGGCGTTCGTGCGCAACACTGATGGTGATGGGTTTGAATCCTGTGACGTGCAGGAGTCATGGATGGATGCGCACTGCTGATGAGTCCTATACCAAGGTTTCTAATAGTGGCCTAACATTGATTGATTCATGATTTCAAAAAATACAGGTGATACTACCTAATAATATTGAATAACCAACCATAGGATGGAACAAATAAATCAGGCGAATACCTGCAAACATTATCAAAACGTGATAAAATTAATTTCGAATTGAATATGTTTTGAATGAATCATTTAATAAAGCAATAAATGTGAGAAGAGTTAGTTGTGGAGATAAGAGAGGTACTAAGGGGTGCAGGAAGGATTTGATTTTGACCAATTTGGTCTCGTGTGCTGGTACGGGTATGAGGGCGGTTGTCACTTCCCGGCTGCCCACACCGTGGAAGGTTGTTTCTTGAGGGACCTGAAAAGGAAGGTAGATTAGTGTTGGTCTTAGAGACCTGGGTGCGTGACCGCAGAGCCCAACGGACAACTGCTTGAGGCCGGTCATGCACGGCCTTTTTACGAAGGGTTTTTTTAGTATTAGCTACGCTCTTGAAAGCCCTTAGTGGGCACCATTACCGCGAGAGACGGAAATCCGTGAGGTAGGGTGAGGTGTGATATTTCTAGGGTTAACATTTTCTAACCCTTCTTTCCTTGTAAGAAGGCAGCATCGTTGCAGATGCTGGTTGTCCGAGGGAAACACCTTACTGCTGTCATACCCCTCTGCAGTCAGCAGTACGACTTCGCCCTCCGAAATTGAGTCGCTGCTTCTAGTATCACCGCTCTCCAATCGACCTGCCTGGCATGGTAGAACCCACAGGAACATATGTTCCAGCCAATATAGCTCGGTTGGGTCATCACGATCGGCAAGCTCGACCACCACGTCAAGGTAGCAACTACGGTCGGCAAAGCAATAAATGTATGTAGTACTCATCAGTGTAGTGACTAGTTTAAGTTGGATTTTTAGAAGTTTATGTGAAAAAGTTGTGTGACCTATGTAGAGTAAATTAGTAGTTACCCATCCCCCACGGTAGTGTGATATGAGATGATAACTTATCTTATGTCAAGATTCTATCATGCTTATCGTGAAAATTGATGATTTCAAGTTCACTATCTTGTGATATGCTCTATGGAAGACTTATGAATCGGGAAGAAATAGTAATCTAACAAGGATCTGAATTTATATTGTTGTTGATATTCAAGGACTAACGTTTTTTGTCAGTCTTTGTTGACAAAATGTGTTTCCTGTAGTTAACAATGAAGTTCAAGATGCACGTTCCTTTCTATTTTGGACTAATTAGCCGCATGCACTTCTGCCTCAGTGTTGGTGTTTATCTTGAGACTCAAACTCTGTACTCTTCTCTTAAAGACGCCCAACACGTTATCCACTAAACTATCTAGTCTTGACAGTCACCAACTTCTCTAACAATCATAGTGTTTTATATCATTATTTAGTATCGCATGAATCTCACATAGAACGAAACATTTGTCCTGAATTTTATTACTAGTCACGATTCATTCGGTTTTATAAATCGTTTCAATGTTAGCTCATATCATTTTTTGCTTTAATTCTGTGTGACCTACTAATTGCAGTTATATAGTCGAGTCATTTTAGTTATCGATTTCAAATATGTATTAGCGTTTCACATCATTTTATATAAACATTTTTTTATATTATTCTACACGACTCTATTCATCATTGATCTATTAATATTAGAGAGAAACAGCACAGTAGCTTATTTATCTGTCTTATCACAAAAAACAAAGATGATTGTATTTTCGAAGAACACATTCTTTTGTCTCATTTATGACCATTCGAAGAAAATATATCTGATTGTTTGCTTTTGCTGTTTGCTTTGTTCAATACATTGATTCTTATTCTATTCCGCCTAAAATGATTAGGCGGACAAACATTAGTTTTCCTTCGATTGATTCTTATTCTATCCCGACCGTAGCTGCTACCGTGACGTGGTAGTCGAGCTTGCTTATGGTGATGACCTTACCGAGGTATATTGGCTGGAACATATGTTCCTGTGGGTTCTACCATGCCAGGCGGGTCGATTGGAGAACTATGAGACTAATAGCAGCTACTCAACGTCTGAGGGCGAAGTCATACTGCTGACTGTGATGGAGGGTTGTGACAGCAGTAAGGTGTTTCCCTCGGACAACCAGCATCTGCAGCGATTCTGCCTTCTCACACTGAAGGAAGGGGTTAGCAAAGATCGACCCTAAAAATGTCACACCTCACCTTGCCTCATGGATTTCCGTCTCCGGCGGTAAGGGCTTTTAAACAAGAGCGGAGCTAATACTTTAAAAGCTTCTCATAAAAATGCCGTGCGTGACTGGCCTCAAGCAGTTGTCCGTTGGGCTCTGCGGTCACGCACCCAGGTCTCTAAGACCAACACTAATCTACCTTACTTTTCAGTTCCCTCAAGAAACACCCTTACATGGTGTGGGAAGCCGGAAAGTGACATCCGCCCTCATACCTGTAGCAACACGCTACCCTTATTCCATACGAATATTGTTTTAAATGGAACAATTGTGAATTTCAACACTAAAAGCGGAAGCAACGCCATTATAAATCAAATCAAATCAAATAGTCTTGCACAATTTATCAAGATCACGAACCGATGTAGTTTAGGTGACCATTGATGACCGAGGAAACATTAGACGGCTGTTTTGTCTTAGTATGAGGCTCGTCACCGGTACTCATCCACTACCCTGCAAGCGGTAATCGAACCTCGTGTCTTTGATCTCATTTTACCGCTAACCTACTAAGCCAGCATTCAGTGGTGTACAAATCCACATTTAATCAATCTACGATATTGCACATTAGTTTACACATACTTTATTTATTTTTTATTTTTTTCTGAGTGTCTGTTGTTCATTATAGACACCACTATTACTATTACTATTATTATTAGTATTATGTTCATCAAAGTAGTTGACCGCATACCATACACATAAACTATTCCATAAATCCACTGTTTATGTCTGACCATTGAAATAACAGTTAGACACACCCACATAGTATTTATAGGTGTGTGATACGATTAGTTTGTAAAACTCTCATTATGTGCCAATAACAAAATAATTGTCATCATGAAGTTGTGGAGGTAGTTGAGTTTTATTAAAATCATCTATCGATCGATGTTAGACCACCACCATTAAAAAACTCGAGGCACTGGATGGCTGTTTGGTCCTAGTATGGGACTTGTCAGCCAGCAGTGCCTACCCATGATAGTTTCATGTTGCTCACTAGTGGCTAGCTTCATGAGGGGACACTTGGAGTTCTAGTGAGAAGCCGTAACCAGTGGAGCTCAACCGTGTCAGGTGTGAGGCAGTCACCTACCGAAGTCAGTGAATGAGGTTGCGCATTATCGTGGATTATTTGAAGTCAGACAATAAGACTGTTGGTTAAGTGTTTGCGCTCGAGACCGAAGGTCCTAGGTTCGATTCCTATTTGTGGAATCATGGCACTACTAGTGAGTCCCATACCAGGATGAAACGGTCGTCTAGTGCTTCTACTGATAGTCGAACATTAATCGATTCATGATTCTGATGAAAGTAAAAGAATAAGGTTAGAAAATTAGCAGTTATGTAGTGTTCTTAATAAATGATGGTGGAGTAATTCATTCATTCTAATCGATGACTCGGTTTGTTAACAGAGAACCTAATTCTTGTAGACTTTAAAAATTCTGACAGTTTGTTAACTTGAAATCCACTAATTATGCTTCTCATTTTAATAAAACGACTATCAATCTAATTCAGTGGTCTATCAATTCAAGTTTATTATATTCCCTAAATTACTTACTTACTTACGCCTGTTACCCCCAATGGAGCATAGGCCTCCCACCAGTTTTCTAAAACCAACTCTGTCCTGCGCTTCCCTCTCCAGTTCTGTCCAATGTTTGTTCATTCTTCTCATATCTTTCTCTGTTTTGCGGCGTAATGTATTCCTTGGCCTTCCTCTTTTCCTTTTGTCTTGAGGGTTCCATGTGAGGGCTTGTCTCGTGACGCAGTTAGGTGCATTCCGCAATGTGTGTCCTATCCACTTCCACTACTTCTTCCAGATTTCTTCCTCCACTGGAATCTGGTTTGTTCTCTCCCACAGGAGGTTGTTGCTGATGGTGTCTGGCCAACGAATCCGAAGTATTTTGCGTAGGCAGCTGTTAATAAACATTTGTATCTTCTATATGATGCCTTTCGTAGTTCTGCAAGTTTCCACTCCATACAGTAGAACTGTCTTGACATTTGTATTGAAAATCCTGATTTTGGTTTTGGTTGAAGGTTGTTTGGAGTTGCAGATATTTTTCAACTGTATAAATGCAGCCCTTGCTTTGCCAATCCGCGCCCTCACATCTGCATCGGATCGACCTTGATTGTCGATGATGCTGCCCAGATATGTAAAGATGTTAACGTCCTCCAAGGCATCATCATGAAGAGTGATTTGGTTGGTTCATGTTGTGTTGCATCGGAGAATTTTGCTTTTTCCTTTATGTTGAGACCTACTGCTGCTACATTGGTGGTCTTCTCTTGCATTTGTTGTTGCGTGTGAGATAGAAGAGCCAGGTCATCTGCGAATTCCAGATCGTCCAGCTGCGTCCTAGCTGTCCGTTGGATACCGTACTTCCCTCCAGATGTCGACGTCTTCATAATCCAGTCGATCACCACAGTTAAATAATGTGGCATGGGTTTCAGGGTACATATTTTGTTAATAATGCTTAACAAATAGCCATATCATACATTATAAACTTGTAGTTGGAGAAACTATTTGCTTAAGTAGCTCTCAGCTCTCATATACCAGCTAATTACTGATCAAACTCAGCTCTGAATATTTGACAATAGTAATATGTAAAAATTATAACACTTGATAGGATTACCATAAATCATGTAGCAGATTAGAAATTGCTATTGAATTGTACACATACGGGTGTTAGTGATTGGCTGGAAAAAAATGGCTAGCTAATGCTCCTCGGTATCCATCTATCGATCGATGTTAGACCACCATTAAAAACTAGAAGCACTGTTTCGTCCTAGTATGGGACTTGTCAGCCAGCAGTGCCTACCCATGATAGTTTCATGTGCTCATGCTATTGAATTGCATACACACGGGTGTTAGTGATTGGTTGGAAAAAAACAGCTAGCTAATGCTCCTCGGTATCCAGTGGTTACTTGAATAAGATCAATGATTTAACAGTCTCCTCGAAACCCCCCCGTGCTAACAAAAAAGTAATGAGTAAACTTTACAAGAGTTTGTCTTTTGAATTTCATCATACGACTTCGCCTAATAATGTTGTCCATTTTTAAAAAAAAAAATTTAATTGTTGGCATGATCCTAGATGTTTAAGTCATTGTTTCGTCATGGGTGATTGATTTCATACATGGAGATTTGAATAATCTAAAGTATGCAGATATGACATCGTTTATTCGATAAAGATACTAACAAAAGCATTGAGCAATAACACAAGAATATTTGCATTCAGTCAGTCAGTCAGTCAGATGCAACGTAGAACTTCGTACGTAAGTACATCAGTTCATGTTGCCATACCACATCAGCACACAGAGATATAATTGTCAATTCAAATCCAATAGTAGAAAAGGTAGTAAAGGTATTAGAAGTGATCGGAGAGGTTAGGATTCGAAGAAACTAGAAAGTCAAAACTAGAGGTGTTGAAGAATCCAGAAGATTAGGATTTGAGAGAACACAAGGAGTAAATGCACCGGCGCCATTGGAAACGGTTTTGAGCCATGTCATTCAGGGTCTATAACCATCGATTACCATCATCTCGCCGACCCCAACCAGGTAGTCGACAACTACCGACATTACTCAGTCCACTTGTCAATGACTTCATGGATTTCTGTCATGTTTTGATCTGGCCTCCCCTAACTAGTATATTTGCATTGTGTTACTTTTATTCTGTAATAAAAATGTTTGCTTCGTGAATAACATCTAACAACAGGGGATGAATAGGTGATTTTCAACCAGTTCACTTATCTTAGGTCTCATCAGCTTTCGTTGGTTATTAGCTGTAACAATCTATACGCGTATAGAAACAAATTGCAGATTATATGTCGTTTTACTTATCAATGCATGAACTCTTGGATCTGCTGGAGACATTACTTGTATATTCCAAAACCATTAATTGAGTCATGCTGAATGAAGTTCAGCGTAAGGTTTTAGGTAGAAATGGTAAGTAAACAATGAGACAAATGAACCTCTTTTTATTGAGGTGACAAGAGTATATGTATTATCGATCGAGTTGCCGTTTCCTCCCCTATAGGAGTGGTTTCAGTCAGTCAGTTACAACGTAGAACTTCGTACGTACGTACATAAATTCAAGTCGCCGTACCACATTAGTGCACCGAGATCTAAATGTTAATTCAAACCCCATAGTAGTAAAGGTAGTAGAAGTAGTGGCAGTAATCGGAAATTTTTGGGTTCGAAGATATTCTTCAAGAAGTAGAATCTAGTGAAAGAAACTGAAAAAGAAAAAGATAAATGTAATGCGGAACTTCGAAGTTAAGGACATGGGAGAACACTAAGGATGAATGCACCTGCACCATTCCAAATGATTTTGAATCACGTCATTCTCACTATCGATTACTATCATCTCGCGGGCCCCATCCAGGTAGTCTGCATCTACCAACATTACTCACTCCACTTGTCAATGACTTCATGGATTTGTGCCATGTTTTGGTTTGGCCGTCCCTAGCTTTCTTCCAACCTATTCCTACATCGTAAAGCATAGCTCGACGAGTCAGCCGGTGGTTAGGCATACGTAACACATGTTCTAACCACCTCAACTGATGGAGTTTCAATACTTCATCTATTACCAGTACTCGTTTCCTAGCAATATCATTGCTTACTCGATAGTCCCAAGACAAACGCGCAAAGCTTTGAAGACACCTATGATCGAAAATCAGTAACCTATGAATATCCTCTACTCTTACTGGCCAGGACAGAGCGAACTGCTGCACAGTAGACTCGGCCTTTGGTGAGTAGACTGATTTCTCCCTTACGCCATAGGTGACGCAGGTTAGTAAAAGTCAATCAGGCCTTCTGTATCCGTGCCTTGATTTCGTCAGACACCAGGCTTTCAGCACTGATGTGGCTCCCAAGATAAGTGGTGCGATCAACGCGCTCAACTACTTAACTCCCTATGGCTAGTTCAGGCGCCGATGCAAGCCAATCCTGAAGCTACATTTTGCATTTCGACGGGGCAGTCGCAACCCGAACATGCTTTCGTCGTTACTTAAGGTGTTCCAAAGACTCTGCACTTTGTTAGAGTCTTTGGTACTCTCTTATGACAGATACTGCCACAGAACCTCACAGTCGACAGAGTCGAATGCTGCTTTGAGGTCTAGTAATATAACTATAATGGGACTTCGAAATGTGTGTCTATGTTCTAAGACATGGCGAAGAGTGAATATTTGGTCTATGCATCCACGTCCAGGTCTGAAACAAGCCTGAAATCCTTGAGTCTGCTCTTCACGAGCTATAGTTAGGCGTTGGTTGACTGACAATTTTGACACTATATTGGTCAGACTGATTCCCCTGTGGTTGTCACTAGACGACAGTCGAATTTCTAATGCCGGTTTCCTTGATAAGTCTGAATCGTTGTCTACTGTTACCTATTGCTACTTTCTGTTACATTTCTTTTGCTTTCGCTCCGCATTACTGTTCACGTTCATTGCGTAAGCTTTTTATCAGCCTGCGATTAACCTGACTCCACTCCTCATCGTATTCACAATCAGATGGGATAAATTTTCAGTTCAGTTCCTGAAACATATTCTTTCTGTTATTGTTTATGACACTGGTATCCTGGTAGTCATTTTAATAGTTTTATCTTACTATATTGACTTAATCAAGTCACTATGACCAATAATGTATATGCATGTTAAGTTCTGGATTGCATTTAGCTCTAACTAAAGGATCTTTGTTATTATTATTATTATTTTCGTACAAAACTGTCAAGCGAGATCTGTATTGAAAACATGTTTATCATTTGTCATAATTCATTCTTCTTCTTCTTCTTCGTAAGTATGTGTGTACATCAATCAGTTCACGTTGCCATTAACACACACACACATTAACACAGAGACGAGATAGAAATATCAATTCAAATCCTAAAGTGTGGTGCGCGCTACTTATAAGTAGTATATGACGTGAGTGTAAACGTAATGTCTGGCAGCAGAAGATAGGGGAAGATCAAGAAAGGAAGAGTGGGAACAATGGAATTTGTATGTAACGCATGAACAGTGAAATGTCAGACAATGGATTGAAGATTTGCACATTACCGGTTACGATATGGTTTTACTATTTTACTGAGTAACTCTGTAATTTTCGTTGAATACAATTCGGTTGCCGTCACCTGTGTTCTCCTTCACTACAATAGTAGTAAAGGTAATGTAAGTATTAGCAGTAGTATATTAGAGAAGATTAGAATTCAAATATATGTGATTCGAAAAGTATCATACATGTTGTTTATACTTCTAATTCTCACGCATTGATTAATTTTCTGTCTCTCTCTCTCTTTCTTTGTTTTCATATTCTAGCTGTAATGCAAGCTTTATGTACTCTTGGTAAAACTACTTCTGTCTTACAAGAACCAAACAAATTACCTGAACAATCGAGATCAGCCTCTATTGCAAATTTATTTTAAAATGAATGAATGCATCTCACCAATACGTTTTATGGGGCGATGCGCGTTTATTTTTTATCTTGTGATTGTAGTTAGTGTTAGTGTGTTTGTTTTATTATTATGATTATGATTATTATTTATAAATAACCGAAAACTATGAATAATTCACCTTTCAATCATTGTTTATTACTTGCTAACTGAATTACCATTGATGATGTAATTCTGTCCAATTTTTTCCCCTTCTATCAAACAACCGAACAACATTCATTTTCCTGCCATTCTAGTCGATATGTTGTGATCGATCAGTTTTCATTTTGTTTTTTATCCCATCCTCAGATAATTGTTTAGCCTTGTCGATTTGTTCACTGCCCATTGTTCTGCGCTCTTCACCTTCTTCGCCTTCTCCGTCTTCTTCTTCGTGTTCTGCTGATTCAGTATTGATTACTTAGGATATATCTACATATATATATATATATATATATATATATATATATATATATATATATATATATATATATATATATATATATATATATATATATATATATATATATATATCCGTATGTTTGTATTAAATAATTGTAGAGAATTGAAAATTTGAATCTGTTGCTTTGTAGTTCGCCTTCTTTTTGATTATATGCAATAGTATGGAATGCTGCCTTACTTACTTACCTTGCCTACCTACCTACTTCGCTATTTGCTTACTTACCTGCCTACCTACCTATTTGATTACTTAATCACTTAATGTTGACTAATTTAATAGCTAATATCTATATACTCTATCTCTCTGTGTGTGTAGCATCTTTCTTTGTCTAGAATTATTTTTATTTTTTAATTCTTGGAATGTTTCTTTTTTATTTTTGTTTTAATAAGCAAAATCATTTTCAGTTTGTTTTTTTCTAATTTGAATACTTTCCATTTATCAAAAAAAACATACATTATCAGTCCACTTTAATAAACACACCTATTTATTACACAGTAATACTGATACTGTTTTCTCTAATGCATAACATAATTCACTGTGTGTTACGTTTGTTTGTTTGTTTGTACTAATTATTTTTAATTGAACAAGTGACCAATACAGGTCATTGGTGTGTTTTTAAATTTCAGCCATTAATAGTTTGTGATAAAGAGAGAATTCATTGGAATAGTTTCGTTATTTGTCTTGTCTTTCTTATCTACCTACACTTGATTTTGTGTTTGTGTTTGTTCATCATCTGACCTTGTGAATATAGATATTAAGGTGTGGTTCTTATCTGTTTTTTTCTCGCTCTCTCTGTCTGTGTGTATGTCTGTATGTGTATGTGTGTCTGTTTCTCTATTTCTCGTTAATTTTAGCAATCAGATCATTCATTCATCATTGTTTTATTATTTATTTGTGCTCGTATTTTTTTGTTTTATTTTAACACAGAAAATTATTTTAGTTACTATTATTATTATTATTTTTAAGAAAACAAAATTCAAAACATCAATTTCTTGTTTCCTATTTCAACCAGATATTTATTATACACATCGTATCGGTATACATATATTTATGCATATATATAGATTTTAAAAGTTCCTTTTATTCACTTGACAACAACTACTTCTATATATTTTGTATTTTTAAGAAAATCTTTGTACTATTCTTTTCTTTTTTTAATTTTTTGGTCAACAACTTTATACCCCATGTACGGACGGTTATTTTAAATCATTTTGTAGGCTGCTTATATTGAATTATTTCATGAATGCAATAATTTCATACTTACTTTTTGTTGTACATCAGTTTTTTGTGTTGTTTTTTTTGTGTGTTCAAATCTAAACTAATTTAATGTATAAAAGAAAATAGATATATACATATATGTACAATCGTCTGTATACGTTTGATGGTGTGGTTTACGTTTATATTTGGATGGATGAACTATTTGCAGCTATTGAATATTTCACTAGATTCTATAAAAAGTCTGCGTAACGACCGCGAACAGTGGTGGGTGGCGAAAGCAAAAGCGATGGAAAAGGCAGCGGCGATAGGCAACACTAGACAACTTTTCCGCCTTATCAAAGAAACCGGTATTAAGAACCCGAATGTGAGTGAGACTATCTCGGAAAAGGATGGTCTTATTATCCATTCTCAATCTAGGAGGCTGGATCGATGGGCAGAACACTTTAGGGATCAGTTCAACTGGCCACGAGCCACTCTTCAGTTACCCACGATCTCCAGTCATCCTGAATGGCAAATCGACGTAAGTCCCCCTAGTCTTAATGACGTTGAGAAAGCGTTAGGAAATCTGAAACGAGGACGAGCTGCAGGTCCTGATAGACTGACCCCTGAGATATTCAGGGATGGTGGTCCAGTTTTAGCAGCTAGATTGACTGAGATCTTAGGTAAAATCTGGGAACTGGACGTAATCCCATCCGACTGGTCTCAATCCTTGATTGTCCCAATCTATAAGAAAGGACAAAAGTCTTCTTGTGACAATCACAGAGGAATAAGTCTAACTAATATAGTATCTAAAATATTGGCCTCAATAATACTTCGACGCTTAACGAAAGCTCGTGAAGAGCAGACTCGAGAAAACCAGGCTGGTTTTCGACCTGGACGTGGCTGTATAGACCACGTCTTCACACTCAGACAGGTCCTGGAACATAGACACACATTTAGGCGTCCTACAATAGTTGTTTTCCTGGACCTTAAGGCGGCATTTGACTCTGTTGATCGTAAGGTTCTGTGGCAGTGTCTGTCATTGAAAGGTGTACCACAGAAGTACATTAACCTTATACAAGCTCTTTACTCGAACACCACTGGTCGGGTGAGGGCTTATGGCGAACTGTCACCGGAATTCTCTACATCAAGTGGTGTCCGTCAGGGATGTCCACTTTCTCCATTCTTGTTTAATTTTATCATAGACATGCTCCTAGAGTTAACATTATCCTCGTCTGAATTTTCAGGAGTAGACCTTCTTCCAGGTGGCTCGCTTATTGATTTAGAATATGCCGATGACATTGTCCTACTTGGTGAAGACGCTGACAAAATGCAGAGTCTTCTGACTACCCTAAGCAACAATGCAAGCATGTTCGGGATGCGGTTTTCCCCCTCGAAATGCAAAATGTTGCTTCAAGACTGGGTTGCATTGGCACCTGAACTAGTGATAGGGAGTGAAGTAGTCGAACGTGTAGACCGCTTCACTTATCTTGGGAGTCTCATCAGTGCCGATGGCCTGGTGACTGACGAAATCTCAGCTCGGATACAGAAGGCTCGATTGGCTTTTGCCAACCTGCGTCACTTATGGCGTAGGCGAGATATCCGTTTGCTGACTAAAGGACGAGTGTACTGCGCAGTAGTTCGCTCCGTCTTACTTTATGGCTGTGAAACATGGCCAGTGAGAGTAGAAGATATTCGTAGGTTACTGGTTTTCGATCATAGGTGTCTTCGAAGTATTGCTCGTATATCCTGGGACACCCGAGTGAGCAACGCTGTTATTAGGAATCGGGTGCTAGGTAAGAATGGCAGATCAATCGATGAAGTATTGAAACTTCACCAGTTGAGGTGGTTGGGACATGTGTTGCGTATGCCGAACCACCGGCTGCCTCGTCGAGCCTTGTTTTGTAGTGTGGGAATAGGTTGGAAGAAAGTTAGGGGCGGCCAAACCAAAACATGGCAGAAATCCATGAAGTCATTGACAAGTGGACTTAGCCATGTCGGTAATTGTCGACTACCTGGTTGGGGTCCGCGAGATGATAATAATCGATGGTTAGAGACCTTGAATGACATGGCTCAAAATCGTTCGCAATGGCGCCAGTGCATTTATTCTCTGTGTTCTCTCAAATCCTAATCTTCTGGATTAGCCAGCACCTCTACCTTTATCTTTCTAACCTTATTTCACTGAATTATATTTTTTGAATAATATCTTAAACCCTAGTCTTCTTTATTATAACATTAATACCTCTACCATCTTTATCACCGTGGGATTTGATTTGACATTTGCGTCTCTGTGCTAATAATGTGGTATGGCAACATGAACTTATGTACATACGTACGAAGTTCTACGTTGCAACTGACTGACTGACTAGATTCTATCTAATTCTTGAATAATATTGTCGAACTTTAATCAGATAGATAGACAGACAGACAGATACAATGCGGGACTTCGTACGTAAGTACATCAGTTCAGGTTGCCATACCACATTAGCACAGAGATGTAATTGTCAGTTCAAATCCAAGGGTGATAGTGATAGTAGAAGTATTGTGGTGCGAGCTACTTATAAGTAGTATATGACGCGAGTAAAAACGTAATGTCTGGCAGCAGAAGATGGGGGAAGATCAGGAAAGGAAGAGTTCGAAAACAATAGAATTTGTATGAAACGCATGAATAGTGACAATGGATTGATGTTTTGCAACAGGAACAGTCCAGTTCGATATGATGAACTGTTATTTTGCAAATGAACGATTTACGATATGGTTTTCCTATTTAACTGATTAACTCTGTAATTTTCGTTAAATACAATTCGGTTGCCCTCACCTGTGTTCTCCTTCACTACAATAGTAGAAGTATTAGCAGCAATGGAGAAGATTAGGGAGCAATGATATGATTCGAGAAGTATAATTCAGTGAGATAAATTTAGAAACAGAAAGATAGAGATGAGGAATTCTGAAGATGAGAATTAAAGAGAACACAAAGAGTGGATGCACCTGCGCCATTGCAAACGATTTTGAGCCATGTCGTTCAATGTCTCCAACCATTGGTGACTATCATCTCGCGGACCCCAACCAGGTAGCCTGCGTCTACCAATATGACTCAACGAACCTTAATCTCTCCGATTACTGTTAATGCTTCAACTGCCTCTACTGTTACTACTATAGGATTTGAAGTGACCATTGCATCTGTGTGTTAATGTGATATGGCATCTTGAATTGAAGTTCTATGTTGTTGTTGTTGACTGACTGACTGAATATTGACCAGTTATTTAATTTTAGCTTAGGACTATTCAACACTGCGTGATTCATTACTTTATAAGTGTTTAAGTGTAATCATGATATTATT